CTCTGCCGTCTGCCCGCTCCACCGGCGCTGCGCTCCGACCAGCCTTCCCCAGGGCTGGGCTCGGAGGGAGCACCGCCGCCGTACGCGCCGCCCGGCGGCCCACGCTGGCTCCTCCCCGCGCGGAGCGGTGGTGCCCGCCCCAACGGCACGAGGTCCAGACGGCACGTCGTTCAAACGCCAACGGCGGCAGCGCGCGGGCCGTGGCGGTGAGTCGGGGCCGGCGGGGACTGCCTTCTTCCCCGTAGCCCCCGAGGCCGTTCCCCGCCGTGCTGCAGGCGGCTCCCGCCCCGGAGGGGAGGGAGGCGGCGTGAGGCCGAGCCGAGCGCCACGGCCGAGGAGGCACACGGGGTGGACGCCTTGCCTTGCCCTCCTCTCCCCGCGGCCTTCCGGGCGCCGCGGTGCCGTTACGCCCGCCGGTCCCCGTCTTCCTAGCGCGGGGCTTGCCGCAGCGGGCCGGGCCCCTCGGGCGTGCTCTGTCACGCGGGGGAAACAGAGGCCACCGCGCCCTTCGGCTGCCGGTAGGCCCCGGTTACCGCCGCGCCGCGCGAGCCTCAGGGGGGTTTGAGTGCTGTGGCCGGTTAACGGCTGCCCTTCAGGCTGTTGCGTTTGACTTCGGGTAGCCCAAACCCTGCTGGTTTTTGTCTTCTCTTTTAGTTCCTCTGCGCGCTGAAAAAGTTTACCTTTCTGTCAGAGCGGTGGGGTGTAGAGATAGTCGCCATCTTACGTAATTTGCGGGGATGATTACCAAATGAGAGGCGATCTTTCAGATTTCAGCGAGCTAGGTAAGCACGGGTGTACTGGACTGTATCAGAGCAGGACCTTCCTCTTAAGGCCGGGTTTATCTCCCACCGCTGCCTGATGAAGGCTCGGAAGTCGCGCAGACCAGCGACGAATGTAGTCCGAATATACCTGCCTACTAGCGTCCTGCTGCCCTGCCGTTCAGCCTTACACAACAGCTCTCGGGAGCCGAGGGCTGGTTTCAGCTTCGTCGTCAACTTTCGGGTCAGTTAGTCTCGTATTTCTACACTGACCTTCGGTAGCAGGAGTCGGAGTAAGTTTAACATTAGAAACTAAGTTTTCCAGCTTCTCGCAACAGGCACTAGCCTACTTTTCGAGGTCTAATAGCCTGCATTTTGCACAAAATTCCTCACATCTCCTATTAGCAGCGCAAGATGAAAGTTTCATGCTCCTTGTTATTGTTGAGGGAAGATGAGTAGTGTTTGTCAGTATGCCACAGTTCAGCTCGGCACAAGGATGACTAAACTAATTTTCACTAACGTTAAGAAATTTAGCACTAGGGAGAAAGTTATTGAATATGTTCTTCCAAGGCTGAATCAGTAGCTGGGAGAAAATCTCATGCATTTATTAGTGTTGAGGAGCGTGAATTCTGCCATAGAACTTATGTTGCATGATACACACTGACCAGGAAGCCAATGTAATCATGTTATTTTGCGTAGCCGTTGATTTGCATGTCTAAGCTTCGTTTCTCAGCAGGTGTGGGTAGTGTGTTCTCTCATAATTGTTACAGATTTTTGAGCATGGGGGGGGGGTGCTTGTTTTTACTAAAATGTAAGGACATACACGATAAAATCAGGCATTTGTGTTTGTCTTTCCCCTGTAGCATGAGGGAGAAAACTGCCATTTCAGAAATGACAAGTCCGTTTCTTCTTAAAAAAAAACAAACAACCCCAAAAAACCAACCAACCCCCAGAACTCCCCAGCCATCTAAGGTATAAATATACAAGATGTCCACTGCCCTCATCACTGAAAAAAGTAGTCTTCCATCAAAAGGGGAAAATGAAACAGAAGTTCTTTAAGCCATCTCTTGGGAGATACATATTCCCAGGGGCTTCATGCTATCATCCTGCTGAGTCAAAAACACTGAAGTCCAAACGTGTTGGTGACAAAATTTCTTTCCGGCAAGTAAAATAAAAATAAGTACTCCCCTTACTTCTGGTGGGACAGAAGAGAGGAGGATGAAGTGGGAATTTCCCAGTAAACTCAGAAGGCTAGTCTGTAGTTACACCTAGTCTATAAGGGTAAATTGTATGTGCTCTAAATAGATGTGTTGTATTAGGTATAGTTGATAACGGAACTGAAGTAACCTTGAAAAGACCTGACATGTTGGACTGCTGAGAATCCAAGTGTTTGGACGGCAAGAGCAGTGATAGATCTCAGTTTCAGGTAAGGGTCATCAACCTTCTCCCAGGTTCAGATATCCTCCTGACTGTGTTTCTGCAAAAATCTAACTAAGAAGTTTAAAATGAGTAGAGAATTATGGGAATTCTCCTTTGCTTCCCTTCTTTTAAATGGTCACCTTGTGGGAAAGTGCTGATGTAGGGAATGTCTCTTGCACCCAATTAATTTACAGCAGAGCCAATAGCATCAAAATGAAACTGAGGGTTCTGCTAACACTTCTGAGAAATGCTGATTGCTGTCTATAATTTCGTTTTTCGTTCCCAAAGAATAAACTACATGCATGAAAAGGAAGGCAGTGGAGGAAATTCGCAGCTTGGGAGACTGACAAGGTCTATAGAGATAATACGTTTGACCCTGTCCTGGTTTCGGCTGGGATAGAGTTAATTTTCTTTCTCATAGCTGGTATAGTGTTATGTCTTGGATTCAGTACAAGGAGAATGTTGATAACACACTGATGTTTTCAGTTTTTGCTAAGTAGTGTTTAGACTAAGTCAAGGATTTTTCAGCTTCTCATGCCCAGCCAGCAAGAAGGCTGGAGGGGCACTAGAAGTTGGGACGGGACACAGCCAGGGCAGCTGACCCAAACTGGCCAAAGGGATATTCCATACCATGTGACGTGACGCCCAGTATATAAACTGGGGGCAGCGGGTGTGGGGGGATCGCTGCTCAGGAACTAACTGGGCATCAGTCGGCAAGTGGTCAGCAACTGCACTGTGCATCACTTGTTTTGTATATTCCAATGTATTGGTATTGTCATTTTAATATCGTTATCATTATTAGTTTCTTCCTTTCTGTTCTATTAAACCGTTCTTATCTCAACCCACGAGTTTTACCTTTTTCCTTCCGGTTCTCTCCCCCATCCCACTGGGTGGGGGGGGGAAGTGAGTGAGCAGCTGTGTGGTGCTTAGTTACTGGCTGGGGTTAAACCATGACAGACCCCTGTAAGAGGAAAAAACATTCTGTTATGAGGCTTGTCATAGGCACTAAACTATCAAAACACAGGCAGGCCGAGGTGTACCATAGGCAGAAATGTAGGTGTCCAGGAACCTTTACTGTGGAAAACTTGGGAGGGGGATTCAGAGAATCTAAAATTTGGGCTTTGGGGCCCACAGGAATTTTTAAATGCTTAAACTCACATTGTGGATCCAGCTCGTTAAAGGTTTGAATACTTTTAAGTATAGTCAGTTTAATTTTTATCTTTTATTGCAATTGGGAGGTTGTTACAAGAACCAAATGGTTATGCCAGGCGGAACAAAAAGATGCACCTTCATCTTTGTTACTTTTTGCCCCCCTTCCTCTGTTTCACAGTTTCTTAGCAATGCTCTTTACCAATTCACAGGTATTCAGAGGGGCAATGAATTTTCCCAGAAAAAAGTTGATTAAACTTACAAATAATTATACCTATGTTAATGTGTGTTTATGCTTTACATTACTTTGTAGCATTTGGATTACTTTATGTAACTAGAAGTTTAAAGGTTGCAAGATAGCAAGCCTTACTGCATCATGTGCTATTTCTCTAAAAGAGGTAAGATTGCTATCTTTGTTTGCAAGAAAGTACGTGAGATTTTAAAGCAGGTGAAATTATTAGTGATCAATACCAAAGGTTGGCAGTAGACAATGGAGCCCTCATTTTGGATTTCAATTCTTTTACTATGAGATACAGAGCTCAGAGCTAGAGTCACTGAAATCTTAATTTTTCTCAGGAACTCAAGTGCAGTACTACCCATACAAATTAATGATCTCATTTGTCTCTCCAACCATAAAGCATAAATAATAGTATTTTTTCACTCCTTACTAATGTTGTGTGGCTAGTTACAACAGTTTGAGGAGGAATGTAATACCATTCTGTAAACAAAAGTGAAACTTCCTAGGCCTTCCCTTATTGTGTCTATTCTGTTGTGTTTATCTTTGATAGTATTAATACAAAGATCTTTTACTTCCAAAACTGTGTGGAAAGATTTAATGTTAAAATGAATATCATAGTAAGGTTAGGTGTTGATTTGGAATATTGGGTACTCTCAGTTAATAAATAAAGTATGCTCAACAAAACTGGAATCAAAAGCAGTGATGAGTACAGCACGTATTAAAATTGAGTCACAAACAGAACTTGATACTGATTTGGCTACTTGTAATTGCTTCAGGACAAATGAAGAGAAAGTGGGAAGAAAGACTGAAGAAAGTGGAAGAACTAGCATCTCACTATGAAAGAAACCCTCTTCCTCCAGTTTATAGACCAAAACTGTCCAAACCCTTTCTGCCATCCTCTGTTTGGAAAATATTTTGTCGGCAGGCTGAAGCTTTCGATTATGTAAAAACTTGCAAAGAGGTAAATTATTTGTTAGGTGAATGTCTCTACTCTTTAGGTATTTTCAAGGTTGAACTTCATGTAAAAGCTTGGTTGACAGTAAAATCTTTATCGGATTGCAAGATCTTTTTTTTTCTTTCTTTTTTTTTCCCCTTCTTCGCAATCCTGAAACAGCAAGTGTTTTTTAATTTTTTTGTCTTTGTAGGAGATCATGCTACACTGGAGGTAGGTCTAAGAAGTACTAGTTCTAACATAGGAATTGATATGTGATGTTAACCTCTAACAGTAAAAGTGCTTTTTGGTAACATTGTAGTGATAGATTTGTTCCTTCTGAAGATGAACAAGCTGTCAGAGTTGGCAGGAGAATGGGGAGGTAGTGAGAGTTGAGGAGGAAGAGAGAGAAGGAAAAAACTGAGGAAGAAAAAGAGAGAAACTGGAGACAGAGACAAAATAAAAACAATACAACTCTCCAATGGCATCAGAGTAACAAGTTATGATGATAAGAAGTGATGAGCCAAATAAACGTTATGCAAAATGTATCTGTTTTCAGTTTAATAGTCTTCAAATTGATTGCTGCTTTTGAAGAAAGTATTGGGTTCTTCCCCATGCCATTTTAAGTGTTTAAGTAATCCTGACAATCTGTTTTCCAAAACGCACTCTCACTGGCTTGGCAGTAGGGGTTTTTGTGTTTTCTCTTCAGATTTCCATTTTTTGATTTAAATAGTGTAGAGTCTAAAGAGTATTTGCTGTAAAGCCATATGCTGCTATCATGTCCATGAGGCTTTTCCTTTCAGGATATTGTTCCTCCTCCTGTTAGATGGACTTGCCACTGATCAGAAAAGAGAAGGCTTTACAGAGAGAACAGTTTACAAAACAGTTTCTTTGCACAGCAAAGAAAAAAGCTTCAAATTTTTATGCATGTAACGGAAATCAGAATGATGTTCTTAATTAAAAACAGATGCTACTTAGCTTGAAAAAGGATAAGTGATCTACTTACAGTTTTCTAGTATTTACTAACCTTTGACCAAAGAAATTGATGTCAAATAGGAACTTCTGAAGACTTTAACTGGTTCTTCGACTAAGAAAACTTAAATGTTTTTATTTAAAAAGGATGTTCATGTATTTGCCTTGGAAAAGAACACACAAAGTGGACAAAGGTTTTACCTTGTGACAACATATAAAGAGCTTTGGTTTTATTACACGTGAGTATTTGAAAAGGTACCCTATATGTTACCATAAGATTGTAGTATACTGGATATACTATTATCTAGTAATCACTATTACTGGATAGATATCCCCAGTAGCTATCTGTTGCTCTGACTAGCACAGAGCTGTAATGGGTTGCCTGATGTTTGATCTTGGCCGTGGGGATAATCTTCATAAGAACAAACCAATCTATTCTATAGCACGTTTCAACTTTCTTCTGAGTTGCGAACTGCCATTATTTCCTGTGAATTAAGGACCCTGTTTACTGAACTTAAATCTAATAGCAGTAGATTTGCTTCTTGCTGTCAGCTTTCCTCAGGGGATCATATCGACATGTGACACAAACATATTTCTATGATGAGTCATATATCAGTTTAAATAGGTATTAATATAAATGTCCGGTTACCACTTTATAGTTTTGTATTTGCGTGATGTAGTTTCAAGTATTGACAATTTGATTATGCACTGAACTTTTTTTCCCAATTTTTTGTTTTACAATAAAACATTTGGTTATGAAGTGAAGGAAATCTAAGAGTCAATTTTTATATGAAAAGTAAGCTTGATTTTTTTTCTTAATTTGAAAATGAGATCTATTTTTAATTTAGTTGGATAAAAGTCTGTAATCTCATTTTTAGTGCTTAAGACATATGACTGGTAACTTATTAATTTTTTTACTGTACCTTCCATCATTCCTTAAAATTTCAACAGCATTTCTGTTGACAGTATGTACTGTAAGACTTGGGCAAGGGGAGGAGAATACTTTAAAAACTTAAATTTGAGGCCAGACAAATATCTTTATTGATACTTGATGCTAAAGTTAGTTACAAATTTTTCAAAGCATTATAGGGCTGCTACTTTTTTTAATACGGGTGGTTGATTGAAAAATAAAAGAATATTTAGGACTTACGGGATCCTTGTTTCCAACTGATAAGTATGTATAATGTTTATCATGAGAGGTTGTGATTTGTTTTTCTTTTTCCTTAGTAAAGGTCATAAAACAAGTCTTATGCATTGCTATGAAGTAATTCCTGAAAAAGATGCTTGCAAACTTTATTTTGATTTGGAGTTCTACAAACCAGCAAATCCTGGTGCAGATGGCAAGAGTATGGTTGCAAAGTTAATTGAGGTAAACTGGAGCAAAGTCATGTTGTAGATTAAAACAACAACAAATTTTTATTAATATGAAACCAAAGTATTTACTACTTTTTCTTGATTATTCTGTAGTAAAATGAAAAAGAATTGTAGACCTAGTGGTTATTTTTAATGGAGTAAAAAATACTGTTTTAGTTAAAGCAAAGGTTCTCTCCTTTAAATGAAAGGAAAAAATAGAGAACAATGGTTGTTGGAATGCTTGTATTCACTGTATGTTTACTGATATGGCAAGTTTGGTTTTGCAGGTTGTTTTATGTGCTCTGCCACTTCAAAGCTGTAAAACTGAAGAAATGTTTAGGTATTCTTCAGAGTAGCATCAATAAAAGTTCCATTCAGATATTCCTCAGTTCATTTCCTTTGCTAGCTGGTGCAGTCATGTATCAAGGCTTAGATAAATCCCTCCTGATTTTAGGTGTCTTGAGATGGCAGTTCATTATAGTTGAGTTAACTGATGATGTAGAGAACATCAGGTGACCGCCCTTGCCAATTTGGTACCTAAAGTCAAATATCTTTGCTAATGATCAATTTTATTAAATAGTGCAAATTTCCATTTTATTGCAAATTTGGTTGGGAATTGAGCTCCACTGCAAATTCAATGTGACAGAGGTGGAAAATAAAGCAGGTTTTTAGAAGAGTATTTTCTGTTCCAATAAAACCTCTCTGTGAGTGGCTATTTATTTGTGAGACTTCTGATGCTTATGTGTCCCAAGCTAGAAAGGAAAGGAAGAAAAAGATGATTGAGGTAATTCCTTTGTAAAGAAGCCTTAACTGGTACAGAATCCAGAGGGGTTTACTCCATTGTGGATCAATTCTGAAATCTAGAGATTCCTCAGGTTAAGAAGAGAACTTTGGATTTGCTTGGTGGGGGATCTGAGATGCTTAAACCCTAAGCTTCTAGACCCTTAGGTTCTGAGTCCCAGTCCTAAACATGACTAATCACAAGCTTAGCTTATAGAAGGTTTTTAGAGCTATTTTAGAGCCAGACATCTTATGTTTTCTGCTTAGTTGGTGTTTATTGGGTCACACCAATGAATTACCTAAATCATAGCAGTGAATTAGAGTACCAACCCTTTGCATCATGATAGCCTCTAACTTCCATTCTAGGTAAGCCTCCATTACAAACTTTGTCACTGTGGGTGTGAACTGCTTTGTGGTGGAAAAAAACAGAATATAAACCCACTGAATTAGACTTTGACATGAAATACTGAAAATCTGCTCAGGTTGTCACTGTTAGTATATTCAGTGACTTGCTTATTTCAGGAAATACAGTCTATGTCAAATTTGGTTACAATTTGCTATGTTATGAGTCAGTTTAAATTAAATTAATTGTATGCTCAAAATAAGGAAAAAAAACCTTGAAAAAAAGATGTAGAATCTGCATTTGTGTTAGGTTTTATAGATAACACTATTTAAAATGCTGAAGGAAATAGCCTAATTAATGTAATGTTTATAATTTCAGCTTGTCAGCCAAAAATTAAAAGAACTTTATGATGTAAATTGTTCAGCCAAAGATGTCTTGAATTTAGATTCCAGTACTGATGAAAAATTTAGTCGACACTTAATATTTCTACCCCAGAAGACTGTATTTAAGGATAATATTCATGTTGGTAAGTGTGTTCTTTTCTCTTACACCTAGAGATAAAAGGTGAGGTTTTGAGTTTGTACAGTGCCATCTCACATTTCAATATTTATTTTAATGGAATTATATGTGGAAACAAATATGTATTCCCAGCAGAAATTACTACCTATTTCTGTTTCATTAAGCCTCATTATTTCTCAGCTCATCTTCTACTTCCTTTTTCTAGAATTAGCATTTGTGTGTGCAAAAATGTAACTTCTTTTGTGCCTTTATGTTTATTTTTGGAACTACTGGCAAGCCTGGCTTTTGGCTTGAAAATTGTTTTGTAGTATGACTATGACTCCCTAATTTTCAGATTAATGTCAGTCTTAACAATAAAAGCTACAATTATTGGCTCTAAATACAGTTGGTTTGTGCTCAGCACTGGGTCAGAAAGGCAGGACAAAGCTGGTTTCAAGCCACCTGTGCATAAACATAATTAAGAATGAAATTTTAGTTGTTGATGTAAGTTGGGATTTCATGGGTTATGGCAACTCCAACACAAAGAATTGCCAGTTCAGGCTTGCCTTGACTCCATTTTTAAAATAAGTATAATAATACCTCCTCACTTCACAGAAGTATTTTGAACATACTTTTAAAATACTGTTTGTGAAGCACTGAGGTGCTAGCAGTGAGCGTTAAGAAAGGTTAATGTTGAAAATCATAATTTCTTCTTCTTGTATATATATTCTGTATGGTGTGCAGTAAAGCAGGCTTATAGACATACATTGAACAATGAGGGCGCAGTAGAGTATCAGCTGAGTTTTGCCTGACTGAAGCAGGAACTGATGGAAAACAGCTTGTCCAGTGGTGGAATTAAAATCTGTATCAACCTACAAATGCAGAACATTGGGTTATTTAACATTGCACCTGCAGCCTTGGTTTTGTCATTTCTTAATATTTGAGTGTTTGATTTTGTAACCTTTATTCCTTATTGTGTTTGTTTCAAACAAACAAATAGGGTGAGAAAGAGGAAGCAGAAATGCCGTTATATAGTGGCATAGTAATAATCTCATGGGTTATTAGAAGGCATGAAATTTAGATTTGTGACGTTTAGCTCTGCTGTTTCTGTTCAGGAGGAACTGTGACAACAGCAGCAGGATTACAAGAAAATATGTGCTTTGTTACTGTGTTTCCACTGGCAGTAGAATAGGAAGAATTGAGGATGTTGCGTTCATGATTTTGGTCCCACTCAAGTCCCGCTTTTATTCTGCTGTCTGCTTGGTCACAGTCTGTCTTCATGCCCAGTCTTTGTTTTCCTTTCTCACCCTTACCTCTTTTACTGGCTCTGCACATTCCCTTGTTCCAGTCTTGAGTAAAGCTTATACTGTATTTCTTCTTTTTTTATACCTCCTGTGCTTTTTAAGTAGCTTCTTACTGTGCACTCTGTATGTCCTAGCAGGGGATTGTAGAGAACACAGGAAAGATGGGCTCTTTGCTTTTAGTACTTAATGACAGCACAGTGATGCTATCATTAATGACACAGTGCTGGGCTTCTTTCTAGCCCAGTACAGCATTAGAAAAAATCTTGTTTTCCCTTTGAATTGTTTACTTATTTCATGGGGAGAGCACATGTGCTGTTGGATCAAAGTTGTGTAGGGTTGACATGTGTTTTGTGTTGCTCTGAGGAATCGTCTATGAACGGTCTTGTCAGCATGAATAGCTGGAGTAGACCAAACTGTAAGGAGAGGCTGGATCTTGTAGGTGTGCATGCATGTACAAATTTTTTTTTCCCCAAATATTTTTAATATACGCATGTGGTCCATGGCCGAAGCATCACTTCAAGCCAAAATTCAGATCCTTACTCCAACACAAAGGCCATAGGATTTCTCAGAACCATTTTTTTTTCCAGCTTTTTTTAACATAAAAAAACTATTTATCATTCTTAGGAGCAGTGGAATCTGTGTCCCTAAACCTTTTGAGGAGTAGCTCACATGGCAAGCTAAGCAGATTGTCAAAGTTATAAGCAAATGCTTATAATACTGGCTGCCAGCCCCAAGCGTGACGTAGCCAGTTATTTCTTATGTGATGCTGGTAACAACTACAAACCCCAAAGACTTACTGCAATTTTTGGTTCAAAAGTATGCTCCTCTGCCACTATAAAACTCTTAAGTACTATATGGATGGTAAATAATTTGGTATGACAGCAATTTTAGCCTGTGATCTTGGTAACTAAATTACATTAGTCAGTTCTTTCAGTAGAAGCTTGAACTGTTTAATCTATCCCATTAGTTAAGTGTTCTGTGTCTCCACTGTGAAGTGAATTTGACATGTTTACTGTCAGAGTTAAAATATATGTAGAGATTGTGTATTCATGTTCTGCCTTTGCCTTTTCAGCAAGATGTTGAAGTCACGGTAAAAATAGATTTGTTTTTTTTAATTGAGATATGTAAATGTGAGTGTTAAATTCATGCATGTTACCAATAATATTACACTCTAGACTTTTCATTAATGCATTTTAGTAACTTGCGTGACAAACCTGGTTTAAAGTGTATTAGCTTTGTACTTTCTGCAAAATACTCTGCTGTAGTAAATAACTAAAAATGCAGATAACTTCATAAAGTAATTTCACACAATCTATATGAAAATACATATATTCTTTGAGATGATGGAAAGATTTTGTCCAATATTAAACTTAAAAGGGTTAATATATTTTTCTGACACCTTCAAGTGTTGTCTTTTTTTTGTGAGTTCATCATTGTGGTGTTCTGTCTAATAAAAAATACCTTAATATGAGTTAGTGGTATTTATCTTGGATAAACTAGGATATGAACTATCACATCTTGGATGATATTGTTTCATAAGCATTTTATGTCAGGGAGTCATGCACAAAGTGCATGGACTTAAAATTAAGTATGAGTAAAAACATTTAGTATATAATATTTGGAATTAGTTACTGTTTAGAATTAAAACACAGGGTCTGAGTTCATAGCTCATGTAAGAAAGCACAGGATATCGTGTAGGTCTACAGGAAAGCTGTGGACATTGATGAATTTATATTGATCTACACAGCTGACAAATCCCAAATATAAAAATACAAAATACAGTCAAGAATCAAAAGTGTGAAATGCAGGGTTTGGTTCCCACATCCGACCAGTTAGAAGAAATGGGAAGAGAGAAAACAAAGGTGTTTGTGAATGATAAAGAACTAACTCCCCAAATAATCTTTTCACTGACAGAACCCTTGCTATTCTGACACCAGAGTGCTTGTAACTTAATTACACACACAAAAAAGGAAGTGGTCAAGCAGGACTTTTAAAAATACATTAATTTTTATGGTAGTTGAAATAAACTTCGGTTCTGAAACAGGTACATTTTCTACCTGAACTGAAGACCTGAGTAAATATTGTTATAAACCTAAGAAATTCTGTATGCATATTTGAATACGCAGGGTTGAAATGCTGTCTATGACTATGAATCATTTGTGTGCCTTGGTAGTCCTATAATGAATTATGAGGATGGTGATATTGGTGCTTGATACACTGGGTCATTCTGCTGATATGTAGCATAGGAGGACTGTATTTCATACTCTTTCAGGTTCCCCACTGAAGCTTCATCCAACAACTGCAGAATTCTCCTTGCCAGTATTCCTTCCACTTCATATTTTTTCTTCCACATCTGTATTTATTCTCTTCTCTTCTTTCTCCCTGCAAGTAATTTGGTTTTTATTTGTCTGTCTTTGGTTACCACCTAGCATAGCCTGGAGGTACAATGGGAGTTGAATTAGAATATTGGGAGTTTGAAAAGTCATTACAAAATACTTTTGTAAAAGTAATTTGTTGTTTGAGTAAGCCCTGGTCAAACTCTTACACACTGTGAAGCTGTAAGTAAACCTTTTTAATCATTCTGAAAGTGAAATTAGGGAAAGCAATAGAGAGGGACAATCACAAGCTCTTCAGAATCCTAAATCTGAGCTTGTTTATTGCTGTCATTAACTACTGCAAAAATATTCAGCTAAATGATTAAAAACTACCTATGACTGGATAAAAAAATAAGTTGTGTAATAGCAAAGCTATAGGAATGCTTTATTCAGGTATTGAAGAGTGTTTCACTAAGTGGTACTTGAAATATTAAATCAAACTACATTTTATAAAGGACCTTGACTACTTATTTTTTGATATCACTGTCATTAACAAAGTGGTCCTACATTAAGCATTTGAATAGATGTTACTATTAACAGCCTAGTTCATATGCAGAAATGTTCCTGCTAAGCTAGCATGAAGGCCCAAACTGAACTTGTTCAGTAAGTTTCTGATATTCTAGTGGAAAATTCAGCTTCACAGAAATTTCCAAGCAAAAGTCTTCCTCATGTTAATTATTAAGTCAAGATCATTTGTGCTCCAAGCATGGGAGCAGCTTGAGATCTTGTCTGTCAGAGGCTTGAGTAACTGCAATGGTACAGGTGTTGTGATGGGCAGGAGAAATTCTTTTGAAAGATACCAAAGACATTTATTTCAATTTTGCACTTTTATCTGGGACTTTGAGTTTAGTTTGGGAAATTGTAGTGACAGCGTATGCATTTTGGTTTTGTTATGTTGTCTTTATTTCTAATGAGATGACTGCCAAGCCATCTCACTTGTCAGTTCTCTGTTCAATAGTAAAATTGCAAAGGGGAAATTGTGGCTGTATGATACAATTAATATAGGCACAACTGTTTATTTTCTGGTATTTAAACCATTTTGTACACTGGGCTGGTGTATTGGCTTTGTGTGGCAAGGTTTTGGTCGCGGGGGCGGTTACAGGGGTGGCTTCTGTAAAAAGTTGCTGGAAGCTTCCCCTGTGTTCTAGAGAGAGTCCATACCAGCCGGCTCTAAGACGGACCCGCCGCCGGCCAAGGCTGAGCCAATCAGCGATAGTGGTAACATTTTTAAGAAGGAAAAAAAAGTTGCTGGACAGACAGAAACGGCAGCTGGAGAAGTGAGAACATGTAAGAGAAACAACCCTGCGGACACCAAGGTCAGTGAAGAAGGAGGGGGAGGAGATGCTCCAGGCGCCGGAGCGAAGATTCCCCTGCAGCCCGTGGTGAAGACCATGGTGAGGCAGGCTGTCCCCCTGCAGCCAGGGAGGTCCACGGTGGAGCAGATATCCTCCTGCAGCCCATGGAGGACTCCACGTCAGAACAGGTGGGTACCTGAAGGAGGCTGAGACCCCATGGGAAGCCCACGCTGGAGCAGGCTCCTGGCAGGACCTGTGGCCCCATGGAGAGAGGAGCCCACGGAGCAGGTTTTCTGGCAGGACTTGTGACCCCGTGAGGGACCCACACTGGAGCAGTCTGTGCCTGAAGGACTGCAGCCCATGGAAGGGACCCACACTGGAGCAGTTCATGAAGAACTGCAGCCCATGGGAAAGACCCACGTTGGAGAAGTTTGTGGAGGACTGTCTCCTGTGGGAGGGACCCCACGCTGGAGCAGGGGAAGAGTGTGATGAGTCCTCCCCCTGAGGAGGATGAAGCAGCAGAAATAACGTGTGATGAACTGACCGTAAACCCCATCCCCATCCCCCTGTGCCGCTGGGGGGGACTTGGTGGAGAAATCCGGGAGTGAAGTTGTGCCCGGGAAGAAGGGAGGGGTGGAGGGAAGGTGTTCTGAGATTTGGGTTTATTTCTCATTACCTTACTCTGGTTGATTTGTAATAAATTGAGTTAATTTTCCCCAATTTGAGTCTGTTTTGCCCATGATGGTAATTGGTGAGTGATCTCTCCTGTCCTTATCTTGACCCACAAGCCCTTTGTTATATTTTCTCTCCCCTGTCCAGCTGAGGAGGGGGAAGTGATAGAATGGCTTTGGTGGGCACCTGGCGTTCAGCCAGGGTCAACCCGCCACAGCTGGTCAAAAGATAAAGATTTTCTTTTTTAAAGTGTAGAAGGGAATAAACCATGAG